TAAAATCATTTTCATGGTACATTGACATCATTTCTAATTTTCAAACAGTTAATTTATCTAAATTTCATATACTACTTAATTAGTGGGCAAACCCACTACAAAAATTCTATTTTATGGAGAAACATGAACACCTAATGTCTCAAACCTCTTTAACCTTTGTACTATGTCACTGAATGATGCAAATATGCATTAAAACAAATTTTTCAAATTTTTCTTGAAATTTGTGGGTTAACCCCTACGAAAAACTAGAATTTTTCGAAAATGCTATATTCAGAAGTTTGTGCTCTTTATTTTTGATAAAACAATACCTAATCACATTCAAAACTTATATTAATGTATACTAAGATTATTTACCTTGTACATGGGCATCATTTCTAATTTTCCAACATGTAATTTAATTTTCATATACAACTTAATCAATGGACAAATCCACTACAAAAACTCTATTTTATGGAGAAACATGAACACCTAATGTCTCAAAAATCTTTAACCTTTGTACTATGTCACTGAATAATGCAAATATGCACTGAATAATTTCATATACTACTTAATTATTCTAATTTTTTTTGAAATTTGTGGGTTAACCCCAACGGAAAAATAGAGTTTTTTGAAAATGCTATATTCAGAAGTTTGTGCTTTTTATTTTTGATAAAACAATACCTAATCACATTATAAATTTGTATTAATTTATGCTAAGATTATTTACCTAGTACTTCATTTCTAATTTTCAAACATGTAATTTATTTAAATTTCATATACCACTTAATCAGTGGACAAATCCACTACAAAAACTCTATTTGATGGAGAAACATGAATATTTAATGTCTCAAACCTCTTTAACCTTTGTACTATGTGACTGAATGATGAAAATATGCATTAAAACAAAATTTTCATATTTTCTAATTTTTCTTGAAATTTGTGGGTTAACCCCTACGAAAAAATCGAGGTTTTTGAAAATGTTATATTCAATAGTTTGTGCTCTTTATTTTTGATAAAACAATACCTAATCACATTATAAATTTGTGTAATGTATTCTAAGCTTATTTACCTAGTACATGGGCATCATTTCTAATTTTTCAACATGTAATTTATTTAAACTTCATATACCTTTTATTCAGTGGGCAAATCCACTACAAAAACTCTATTTTATGGAGAAACATGAACACCTAATCTCTCAAACCTCTTTAACCTTTGTACTATGTCACTGAATGATGCAAATATGCACTAAAACAAAATTTTCATATTTTCGAATTTTTCTTAAAATTTGTGGGTTAACCCCTACGAAAAAATCGAGTTTTTCGAAAATGCTATATTCAGAAGTTTGTGCTCTTTATTTTTGATAAAAAATACCTAATGACATTCTAAATTTGTATTAATGTATGCTAAGCTTATTTACCTAGTACATGGGCATCATTTCTAATTTTCCAACATTTAATATATATTTAATTTTCATATACCACTTAATCAGTGGGCAAATCTACTACAAAAACTCATTTTATGGAGAAGCATGAACACGTAATGTCTAAAACCTTTTTAACTTTGTACTATGTCACTGAATGATGCGAATATTCATTAAAACAAAATTTTCATATTTTCTAATTTTTCTTGAAATTTTTGGGTTAACCCCCTACGAAAAAATCGAGTTTTTCGAAAATGCTATATTCAGAAGTTTGTGCTCTTTATTTTTGATAAAACAATACCTAATCACATTCTAAATTTGTATTAATGTATGTTAAAATTATTTTCATGGTACATTGACATCATTTCTAATTTTCAAACTGTTAATTTATATAAATTTCATATACCACTTAATTAGTGGGCAAACCCACTACAAAAATTCTATTTTATGGAGAAACATGAACACCTAATTATGTCTCAAACCTCTTTAACCTTTGTACTATGTCACTGAATGATGCAAATATGCATTAAAACAAAATTTTCATAATTTCTAATTTTTCTTGAAATTTGTGGGTTAACCCCTACGAAAAAATCGAATTTTTCGAAAATGTTATATTCAGAAGTTTGTGCTCTTTATTTTTGATAAAACAATACCTAAGCACATTGTAAATTTGTATTAATGGATGCTAAGCTTATTTACCTAGTACATGGGCATCATTTCTAATTTTCTAACATGTAATTTATTTAAATTTCATATACCACTTAATCAGTGGACAAATCCACTACAAAACTCTGTTTTATGGAGAAACATGAACACCTAATGTTTCAAACCTCTTTAACACATATTTTAATTTTCATTTTTTGCTAATCACATTGTAAATTTGTATTGATGTAGGTTAAAATTATTTTCATGGTACATTGACATCATTTCTAATTTTTCAACAGATAATTTATTTAAATTTCATATACCACTTAGTCGGTGGACAAACCTCCTAAAAAATATTCTATTTTTGGACAAACATTAACATTTAAGATCTCAAAACTCTTTAATATTCGTACTATGTTACCGCATGATGGAAATATGCAATAAAACAAAATTCTCCTTTTACTAGTTTTAAGTCATTTAAAAATCATTAACGTTTGCGTTTTGCTTAACCAGCATACGTGATATAGTCTTGACTATGAGAATGCTTCAAAGCAAGGTAATATATTTTGATAACTACTGAAACTGACTTATCCTGTATTCGTGTTGGACTCTATCTAATTGTATATGTTATCCTCTATGCTCAATTATAATGTTACAAGTATATACTAATAAACTTTATTTCTCATGAGGGCAGGCACTGGACGAACGCAGAAAAGGACGGGTCTGAAGTTAGTGTGACTACAGAACAGATCCATCCTCGAGTTTTGCAATCAAGTTTACTTAATTCTAGGATTTGTTTATTTATTTATTTTGTAACAACGATTATTGTTTTATTATTGAGTAATAGTTGTTGTAGCTAATTTTTTGTATTGTTTACTGTCGTTTAGGCCTTTGTTTCCCGTATGTACAGTAACCAATATATAAAAAAAAAATTGTGGTATGAGCTTTGGTTTTTAAATCAAGCTAAAAGGTATAACTTCCAAAACATGAGTTTATATATATACCTAATTAACTTCAGCCAGTTGGCAGAACAACAACAATAAAGGGACAACTCTAGCCATGTGCTAAGAGTATGTGTAATCAATCATCTAACATCATATCATATACTTGAATTTACAGTTATCTTAAGAGGATTATTTATCATAAGATCAACTTTACTTTGATTTCGATTATGTGATTCATAGAATGACAGGATGGCAACTTTTTAATAATGCGATCTCCTAACCCTTTTTTGTTACACAAATGATTGTGTTTTGGATCGTAATTTAAAATCTGTTACCGAGATTAATTAAGTCTTTTTGATGATTGTTATATTTTTTACTCCTACGTATGTATGTTATTTGATAAGGCAAATGGTTAGAGAGTTCGTATCAATCATCGATCGTTCCACAAAGTATAGTTTATGGTTAGTTAGGAGGAGTATAATAATCATGTCAAGATTCTTCTTACTAAAATGTCAATGCCATATACGTTATCAAAGATGCTAGCGCAGTTAACTTTTCTCGGAAAATTCTACTTTGCTATTTAAATTAGAACTGAAAAATAGAAAAAATCAGAATGCATGCAGTAATTAAAATTGTTTTTATCACTACGTAGTATGTACGTTGATGTCGATATATACTTTTGTAGTCACTTAGTCAGTAATACACATGATGTAAACTACTGTACAGTATTTTCTGACCACAAATCTATAGATTACGTGAATAAACTCTGTCATCCACGTGGCCCATGTTCTAGTATTCCACCTTCGTCAACAACACTCCACCAACCATTGTTAATTTATGCCTTGAAAAAGACTAAACCCACTCTCCTTTTTCTTTGTTATCAACACTACCCTTTCTTTACTCAAAATAACTACTTAAATCGAACATATACTTTTACCATATAGAGGTGTGTGATCATACGGTTACAATTGCTGGAACTTACTAGTCCCTCCGTTTTATTTTAGTTTTATATTAGTTATTGTTTTAGATTTATTCATATAGATTAAAAAATAGTTTTATATATATTTTAAAACAAAAATATCATTATTTATAAACCTTACCACATTTTAAGTAATCAAAAATTAGATTATAAATAAAATTAATAAATTGTATATTAAAATCATATAATAATATTTATTTCCAAACAAAAATTTTACTTTATAACAACAAATAAATCGAAACTAAACCGGAGGGAGTATTATCCTTTACATTTTCAAATATTTAAGAACTTAACTCCATTTATTCCACTACCCCATTTCTCAATGTATGCATTATTATTTTACTTTTTTTTGTCAAACAAGGTATGCATTATTCCGAAAAAAGAAACAAATGGAAGCATAAAGCAAAAGCTAAAGAACAACGATAAATAAACAAATAAATAAAGCATATTCTACACCTTTAGTTATAAACGAAGAACATTCACTTAATTACTAACAAAATCATCATTTGTGATCATCATCATATAAAAGCTACCGTAAATTTGATTAATTATCTCTCTAATGATATCAATTAACTCAACACTTAACAGACAAGCAGACCCCAAGAGAAAGAGATAGAGAGACACTACACCTCTCTCTCTTTATTCTTCTTCCTTCATCCCTCTCTCTCTCTCCCTCTCTCTCATTCAACATCAATGAGTTCTACAGGAAACCCTAATAATCCATGGCCAACATACGATTCATACAGAGACTGCTCACAAGGAGTATGCAGCGTCTACTGTCCTCAATGGTGTTACGTCATCTTCCCACCTCCTCCTCCTTCCTTCTTCCTTGACGACGAAGAAGACTCCTCCTCCTCTGATTTCTCCCCTCTCCTCATCGCTCTCATCGGAATCCTTGCCAGCGCCTTCATCCTCCTCAGCTACTACACTCTCATCTCCAAATACTGCCACCGCCGCCGCGAAAACTCCACCTCCTCTATCAGACGCGATGATCGCGAGATCTCTTCCTCTATAACCGTCGATACTTGGCACGGAGGAAACAACGAAGAAGCTCCGAATCCGGGAGATGGACTCGATGAGACGCTGATTAAATCGATACGAGTTTATAGATATAAGAAGGGAGACGGATTGGTGGAATCTTCGGATTGCTCTGTTTGTTTGAGTGAGTTTCAGGAGAATGAGAAGTTGAGGTTGTTACCTGAGTGTAACCACGCGTTCCACGTGCCGTGTATTGATACGTGGTTGAAGTCTCACTCTAACTGTCCTCTTTGCCGCGCCTTTATCGCCGGAAGAGTTGAATCCATTGCGGCAGCTTCTAATCAACAGATCTCCCCTGTAAACGATCAACATCGTCTGAGTGGAGATTCCCTCGTTGTTGACTTAGATCTGGAGATTGGATCTCGGGATGAGGCGGTTGTTGTTAACGTGAACGGCGGATCGACGCCGAAACCGCCGGATCAAGTGAATCGGAGATCGTCGTCGGTGAATTCAAGCGGTGTTGTTTTGATCGCTGATATACTGAGGGAGATTGAAGACGAAGATGAAGAAGCGGGTGTAGGGACTTCTCGGCGTGGAGAAGATGAGGAAGGGGAGAAGACGCCTCCGCCGTCAGAGTCGGCGGCGAGTCAAGCAGGCGGAGGGATTTCGAATTTTCTGGGGCGGAGTTCAGTGGCGGGTAAATTTGTTAGAACCAGAAATTACCGTTTACCGAATTGAAGAGAAAATTGATTAATTTTAGGGGATTTGAATTTATTTTTAAAAAAGTCAAAATTCGAATTGGCTTATACCGTTGGTAGTCTTTATACCGGGTTAGAGAATCATTGTTAAACCATTTGGAAACAGAGAGCAATTTTCACTATGTAAAGTTTTGAAATTATTGTCCAATTTATTCTTAAGTATCTACTTTGAATATATTCCCCATGCTTTTCTCTTTTTCTTTTATAATGTCGCTACCTAGAATATAAGTAAAATTTCATGTTGTAAACTTTATACCATTTGATATATTTTTATCTATTTCAGAATTTTCTAATGACTGAACATATGTTAACATTTTCGTTGTAGTTTTTATAGGGAAAACTGTAATGTTATGAAAATTGTTAAGAGCATTATTGTATAAACTAGAAAGCAAACCCGTACATTCGTGTGGACATATAAATTATTTACTAAAAATTTAAATTATTTTAATAGTATTAAAATACATATCTACATAATAGTTATAATTTCTTTTTTTTATTCAATTTTTTTTAATTTCATTTATCACACAGTTGATTAAATCTGTATACAGAAATGTTTACGAGATATTATATATGTATATATTATTTGATGAAAATAGAAAATTAAATTTGCTAAAAGTTTCTCAAGATGAAAAATGTTTTAAGAAATGTAATGTAAAATAAACAAAAGAATAACACAATATCTTGCTTTCTTAAACACTTCTACATTTTATTTTTCGTTTCTCGTACACTTTTTATCAGGTAGAGAAGGCTTTTTATCAGGTAGAGAAGGTTTAAAATCTACTAAAAGATACATGTTTAGAAATTAAAAAAAAAAAGTGCAAGAAAATGTGACATTCAAAGATTAAAAAAAAAAGTGTGAAAATGCATAGTTCATAAATTAAAAATATATGTTAATTACAGACAATCCCCAAAGATATGTTATGATTTGGAATATGACATAAATAATTACATTTAATGTTGATTTATGTTTTTGGTAAACTTTTTAAATAATAATAACACATATTTTATATTTAATGTTGATATTTATTTATGGTAAAAAAAATTAAAAAAGGATAATAACTCCTACAAAATGCACAATACAAGTTGCCTATGCTAAACTACTGTGATCATCACTCTCTCCACTGTAAACTACTTATATACAAGAGGTTGCAAAAGGATAAATTACTTGTTTTTCAGTCACATATTTGCTCCAACCTTGATCTTAGAACAAAACTTAGGTCACAAAAACAAAACATGACACAGTTATAAACTTCACTTATCAGGCTGTCCCCGTCTCAGGACGTCGGCCAGTTGGGTGGCTTGGGGAGGCCGAGGCCATGCTGAGGCCACCTCGCTTCCCGCCGCTCCTCGAGCCACTCCCCGCCCTCCAGAGCCTCGCCCCACCCGCCTGGCCCCAGCCCGCCCCCAGAGCCTACTCCGCCACACTCCCCAAGCCACCCGGCCCAGCTGCTGCGGCGGCGGCTCCTCGTCCCCGCCCCCAGAGCCTCCAAACCTCGCCTCCTCCAGCCTCTCCAGAGCCTCCAGCCTCTCCAGAGCCTCCAAACCTCGCCTCCTCCAGCCTCCAGCCTCCAGAGCCTCCAGCCTCTCCAGAGCCTCCCCCGCTCCCCCCGCTCTCCCGGAGACGCCGCGCTCCCCCGCTCTACCGGAGCCGCCGCGCTCCCCCGCTCTCCCGGAGCCGCCGCAAGCTGCCGCGCTCCCCCGCTCCCCCGGAGCCGCCGCGCTCCCCCGGAGCCGCCGCGCTCCCCCGGAGCCGCCGCGCTCCCCCGGAGCCTCCAAACCTCGCCTCCTCCAGCCTCTCCAGAGCCTCCAAACCTCGCCTCCTCCAGCCCCCCGGAGCCGCGCTCCCCCGGAGCCGCGCTCCCCCGGAGCCGCGCTCCCCCGGAGCCGCGCTCCTTCCCCCGGAGCCGCGCTCCTTCCCCCGGAGCCGCGCTCCCCCGGAGCCGCGCTCCTTCCCCCGGAGCCGCACTCCCCCGGAGACGGGAGCCGCACTCCCCCGGAGACGGGAGCCGCGCTCCCCCAGAGACGTGAGCCGTGCTCCCCCGGAGCCGCGCTCCCCCGGAGCTCCCTCCCCAGGAGCTCCCTCCCCCGGAGCCGCGCTCCCTCCCCCGGAGACGGGAGCCGCGCTCCCCCAGAGCTCCCTCCCCCGGAGCTCCCTCCCCTGGAGCCGCGCTCCCTCCCCCGGAGCCGCGCTCCCTCCCCCGGAGACGGGAGCTGCGCTCCCCCGGAGCCGCGCTCCCTCCCCCGGAGACGGGAGCCGCGCTCCCCCGGAGCCGCGCTCCCTCCCCTGGAGCCGCGCTCCCTCCCCCAGAGCTCCCTCCCCCGGAGCTCCCTCCCCGGAGCTCCCTCCCCTGGAGCTCCCTCCCCCGGAGCTCCCTCCCCCGGAGCCACCCTCCCCCGGAGCCACGCTCCCCCGGAGCCACGCTCCCCCGGAGCCACGCTCCCCCGGAGCCACGCTCCCCCGGAGCCGCGCTCCCCCGGAGCCGCGCTCCCCCGGACCCCGGAGCCGCGCCCCCCCGGACCCCGGAGCCACGCCCCCCCGGAGCCGCGCTCCCCCGGAGCCGCGCTCCCCCGGAGCCGCGCTCCGGGGGAGCGCGCCCCGGAGCCGCGCTCCCCCGGACCCCGGATCCGCGCCCGGAGCTCCCTCCCCCGGAGCTCCCTCCCCCGGAGCCGCCGCGCTCCCCCGGAGCCGCGCTCCCCCGGAGCCGCGCTCCCCCGGAGCCGCGCTCCCCCGGAGCCGCGCTCCCCCGGAGCCGCGCTCCCCCGGAGCCGCGCTCCCCCGGAGCCGCGCTCCCCCGGAGCCGCGCTCCCCCGGGAGCCGCGCTCCCCCTGGAGCCGTGCTCGGAGCCGCCCCCGGAGCCGCGGGGAGCCGCGCTCCCCCTGCAGCCGCGCTCCCCCTCCCTCGGAGCCGCCGCGCTCCCTCCCCGCGCTCCCCCGGAGCCGCGCTCCCCCGGAGCCGCGCTCCCCCGGAGCCGCGCTCCCCCGGAGCCGCGCTCCCCCGGAGCCGCGCTCCCCCGGAGCCGCGCTCCCCCGGAGCCGCGCTCCCCCGGAGCCGCGCTCCCCCGGAGCCGCGCTCCCCCGGAGCCGCGCTCCCCCCCCCGGAGCCGCGCTCCCCCCCCCGGAGCCACGCTCCCCCGGAGCCGCGCTCCCCCGGAGCCGCCCCCGGAGCCGCGCTCCCCCCGCAGCCGCGCTCGCTCCCCCGGAGCCGCGCTCCCTCCCCGGAGCCGCGCTCCCCCAGAGCCGCCCTCCCCCGGAGCCGCGGGGAGCCGCGCTCCCCCCGCAGCCGCGCTCCCCCCGGAGCCGCCGCGCTCCCTCCCCGGAGCCGCCGCGCTCCCTCCCCGGAGCCCCCGGAGCCGCGCTCCCCCGGAGCCGCGCTCCCCCGGAGCCGCGCTCCCCCGGAGCCGCGCTCCCCCGGAGCCGCGCTCCCCCGGAGCCGCGCTCCCCCGGAGCCGCGCTCCCCCGGAGCCGCGCTCCCCCGGAGCCCCCCCGGAGCCGCGCTCGCCCGGAGGCGCCTCCCCCTGGAGCCGCGCTCCCCCGGAGCCGCGCTCCCTCCCCCGGAGCCGCGCTCCCTCCCCCGGAGCCGCGCTCCCTCCCCCGGAGCCACACTCTCACACTCTCTCCCACTCTCACCCACTCTCACACTCTCCCACGCTCTCACACTCACACTCACACTCTCACACTCTCACACTCTCACACTCTCACACTCTCACACTCTCACACTCTCACACTCTCCCACTCTCCCACTGTCCCACTGTCCCACTCCCACGTTCTTCCACTCACACTCTCTCTCATCGCTGTACTGCTCGGATCCGAGAAGTGTCTCTCGCCGTGCTTTCACTTTCTCAGTTTCTTCGAGAAAACAAGAGAGATTCTTGTCTGTTTTGTTTGCCATCTCGAGCTCAGAGTCTGGTCCTGCTTCCAAATCCTTCATCGCTGCTTTTCTTAAGGTCAATGCAGCTCGTGAACCGGTTGGTCTTTAGATCTTTCATCTTTTCACCTGAAAACAGTTATACTAGAATCAGCAAAGAATCAAAACGAGAGAGAGAGTGAGAGATAGGTCAAGTGATAGATAACATAGCTCTGTTTATTTGAAAAAGAAATCTGAGATTCTCTCTACCGTGAAGAAGAATGTGAGAGTTTGAGAGAAGAGAGAGACGAGTGTCAAGTGATAGACAACATAGCTCTGTTTATTTGAAAAAAAATCTGAGATTCTCTCTACTGTGAAGAAGAATGTGAGAGCTTGAGAGAAGAGAGAGTTGAGTGTTGAAGCTTGTGCGTTGTGACTAAAGACTATAAATATACCGAACGGGGAAAAAATAGCTGGTACACACTCTTCTTCCCCAACGGCTATATATTTCTTTTCTATTTCAACTAATTGAACTTTTTTAATTAATTGACCTTTATTCGTTGAAGATTTCGAAACGGTAAAAGAAAATAGAAACTAAACTGTAATTATTGTGGACGCCTGACACAACTTTATTTTAAAAATCCTTTACACACATTATTACATGTTTCTCCCTGTGGAAGGTTGTTTCGAGGCAATTGGTGGGCTATTCAATGGACATCATGGTGAGTTGAGGCATTCTTGTTGTAAAACGCTTAATGGGCTTTCTGACAATTGCTGGTCCACTTTTGTTTCCCAAGAAATTTTACCTACGCATCACAATTAAACTGATGTCTTTTTTTGTAACATGATTCATGAGACCATGAGAGACATATAATAAAACATTTGCAGTTTATAACTATCGCCTGCGGTACACAGTTTTTTTTTTTTTTTGTACTGAACCTAATTGCTGAGGTAAGATAAAAAAAAACTCACATCTGATAATGATGGTTGGACTTTCCAACATAATGAGATCTAGAAGAAATTTTGGTACGCGTTTATATTCCATGTCTTGTATTGGACGTCATAAACTGATCGAGTACAAGTTACCCCTTCGTTACTACGATTCGATGCAACAAAATGTCACTGTGTTACTTTTGACAGAGTACATATCAGACAATCTATTGTCGTCGTACGATACAATACAACGTTATTGGACTGTCACAATTACAAGCAGAGATACAAATATACATTTTTATCAACAAAAAAATATACACAAATTAACTATTGCTCCACCTTAATCGGATCAGATCGTACGAATTCTATTTATTTTTATTCCCACAGGTTTGAGCATTATATTTATTGTATGAAAAGGTATCAACTGGATGAACATGTAAGTGTTATCTTTATTTAATTTCAGACGTATTCGCATATTCTCTGGTTGATATAGGATTATTAGCATATTCTCTTTATATCCATTGCCATAACGTGTATATTATTTTTTCCTTGACTTTTTTCTTTTCGTGTTCTTGTGTATTTAGAAGTCACAACTCACAAGTAACAAAAGTCTTGTAGGAGTATTATTTATCTGCAAGAAAACGATTCAAAGAAAAAAAAAGAATTAATTTCAAAGATATATGACTACAAGAAAAGCACAGGATCAATAGCTAAAAGTGAAGTAACTAACGTTACAGTAAAACACTACTAGTTCAGAAAAAAAGAGTTAATATGAACTAATTAAACATAAAATACTTGGATAGAAATATGTAAGGAAATGTATTCCACAATATTTCTTTCGGTAAAACAAACATCATTTCGTAATCATTTTACGATAAATACATATGATAATTCAAAAGACGAGCTCATTACATTTTTTTTTTGAAACACGAGCTCATTACATTTACATAGAGAAATTAAAAAGTAAATGAAAAGTGAAATTTAATCAAGTTGTATTGTCATAGAAATGTAACCATTCAAGTTATTACTACAAATGGTGACTTTCTATCTTTTGAGTAGTGTCGCTATCAATTACTCCTTACAAAAATGGGTAACATTCAATGGATAATAACCATGACGTGCGTCGTTATGGTTTGTTCTTTGCTTACTCTTCTAAAACTCTTTCTTGAAATCTTCAATGGGTGCAGCATATTCAACAATATAATTGTACGAGTATATTTATAAAATATTTATCATGTGTATATATAATTTGTGCGATCTATATATTATAAATCCTAGGCACACTTTTCTTCTCAAACATTGAACATTCACAATACAAAAGAGGCAAAATGGCAGAGACGACTAAAGGGTCAGGATCATATCCAATCAAAACCATCGTCGTGTTGGTTCAAGAGAATCGTTCTTTCGACCATACGCTCGGTTGGTTCAAAGAGCTAAACCAAGAAATCGACGGTGTCACGAAGTCAGACCCGAAATCCAACCCGGTTTCCTCCACTGACCCAAACTCTCTCCATGTCGTCTTTGGTGATCAGTCTCAGTACGTTGACCCGGATCCTGGTCACTCCATTCAGGATATCTACGAACAAGTGTTTGGTAAGCCATGGGATGCAAGTCACCCGGATCCAAATCCTGGTCCAGCTACTATGTCCGGTTTCGCTCAAAATGCCGAGCGAAACAAGACAGGGATGTCTTCTGCGGTTATGAACGGATTTAAACCGGATGCTTTGCCGGTTTACAAGGAGTTGGTTCAAAACTTTGCCATATGTGATAGGTATGTCGGCTCAGTATATTTCCTTTTTGTATTATTTAAGATTTCAACTTTCTGATGTGTGACTTTCGGGACAGGTCCTTAGATTTTAGTTGCATGTGATTATCTCTATGTAAATTTTTTTTAAATAAATTTAGGGGTTAATTTTTTTTTTTGGGAATTTATGACTATGTAATATTTTAAAAAAGTTTTGGGTGTTTGTGACAAATGGTTCACTTAACATAGCCCAGGACCGGTTCTTGTGACTATGTTAACGGTTTACATAAAATTTCACATTCTTGAAAATCTTGTTTGACAGGTGGTTTGCGTCTGTCCCAGCATCTACGCAGCCAAACCGATTGTTCGTACATTCGGGAACATCACATGGAGCATCCAAAAACGACAGGAAACAACTAATCGAGGGGTTTCCACAGAAAACAATATTTGAATCGCTAGACGAAGCTGGTTATAGCTTTGGCATTTATCACCAGTTCCCTCCTTCAACTCTCTTCTATAGGTTTTTTTTCATCGTTACGATTATAACCAAATAATTTGAATAATACATTTTATAGTTAAAATAATACAATTCTAGTAATAATTTGTGTGTTTCAGGAATCTGAGGAAACTGAAATATTTGACACATTTTCACCAATACGGAATACAATTTAAGAAAGATTGCAAAGAAGGCAAGTTACCAAACTACGTTGTGGTCGAGCAACGTTGGTTTGATCTATTGTCAACTCCAGCCAACGACGATCATCCATCCCACGATGTCTCTGAAGGTCAAAAGCTAGTGAAAGAGGTCTACGAGGCCTTGAGATCGAGTCCTCAGTGGAACGAGATTTTATTCATTATAACATATGATGAGCATGGTGGGTTTTACGACCATGTACCTACTCCGGTCGAAGGAGTTCCTAACCCGGATGGTTTATTGGGACATGAACCGTATAAATTTGAGTTTAACCGGCTTGGCGTTAGGGTTCCCACCTTCTTCATCTCTCCTTGGATTGAGCCTGGCACAGGTAAATTAAATGATTACTTTGTAGTAAGTCTCTCCAAGTTCTTATTATTAAGATTTTATTCATTTATCAAATTTTCTGTTTAGGAAATTTATAATTACACACATCTAACTTCAGTTTAATCTTTTTTTTAAAAATAATTATTGTATTTTGGTAAAATATGTAGTTATTCATGGGCCGAATGGACCGTACCCTACGTCACAATATGAGCATTCATCAATTCCTGCAACGGTCAAGAAAATTTTCAACCTCAAAGATTTTTTGACAAAGAGAGATTCATGGGCTGGAACTTTTGAATCAGTTATTACAAGAGATTCACCAAGACAAGACTGCCCTAGTAAGTATTGATTCTTTATCCACTATTATCTATAAACATTTATGATTATTTTCGCTAAAAGTCGATTATATTTGCCTTTTTAGAAACATTATCAATTCCGGTAAAACTGAGAGAGACGTTGGCAGAAGAAAGAGCACAACTAAGCGAGTTCCAAGAGGAGCTAGTGATAATGGCTGCTGGATTAAAAGGAGACCACGAAAACGAAGAACTGATGCACAAGCTTTGCAAAGAAACTTGCGTCGCTGACGCTTCCAAATACGTTACAAACGCGTTTGATAAGTTTATAGAAGAGGCTAGAAAGGCAAGAGAAAGAGGATGTGATGAAAACGAGATCGTTTACTGCGTGGATGTTGATGATGATCATGTTGAAATGCCATCATCATCACAATCAGAAGCACCAGGTGCTGCTCCTAGGCCGAGAACTCAAAGGTCTTTTTTCAGCAAGCTATTCTCTTGCTTTACTAGTCATGATTGAAAGATTATATGATTAAAAATTCAATTTAATTAATTAAAGGACTTGTTTGTGTGTTAGGGGATATATAATCCGACAATGTATTGAGTGTTGTGTTGTTCTGTTTAAGAAAATAAATCTCTAGTTTCTCTTGCATAATGCTTATTCTTTGATTACGAACTTACTATATCTTAGTCCCTAGATGAGATCTTCTTGATATGACAAGTTCAAGTATCCACAGTCAAAGAAGTCATACAAGTAACCAAACTCCCTCTTCTCTTGTCTCCATACGTTCATCTTGTTCTCTTTGATCTTATTCTTGCAACGAACAACACATTCAAGATTCTCAATCTATCTTTTCTTGGTGTAATCAGATTCTATGTCGAACCTCAAACAGCTTCTTATTAATATTCTTAATATTATCATCTTTCTCTTCTTCTTTATCTACTTTCTCTGTTTTCTCCTCTACACCTTTTATTTCTCTACTTCCGAAAAAAATACAAAACTTGCACAACGATCCTCAATGGTAGATTATTTTTCTTTGAAGCATGTTCACAAACCTTGGATGAAAGCTTCTTACATTCAAAGTTATATCAAGCTTTAGGAGATTAGTCTAATTCAAGATCAGTGTCTTTCTTTTTCCTTGCTTTATAGTTTTACTCTCACACGTTGTACTTGTATACAGATAGTTACAAATATTAAAAACTTATTATGACAGTAATTAAGAACAACATAACTGGTTTACACAAGAACATAAAATAAAAATACATATTGGTAAAAAGAAATGGTTGCAACATTCACCAAGTAATAGAAACAACAATTAATTAGTGAAAGATGATTTTGGTAAATGAAAAAGTTTTATTAGCAACAAACAAATAATCAACAGCAGAAGTGGAAGATGATGAGTGTTCTTTGTCTCTTTAACCAGAGATGGTGATGTTACTATTGTGTAGAGAGACCCACATACACGCCATTTACTGTTCATTGAGCAATTTAGAATCTGGATAAGAGAACAACCTTACACTGTTTGCATAAGTTAACTCCGCAAGATCCTCTTTCTTCATGTTTGACAGATTTGCAACATATTCTAGTACCTGTTAGTCACGGAAAATATTAAGCAAGAAATGTATAATCTTACAAGAACAAGATAAGAATAATATTATCATACAGCAACAATGTTTGCAGGGTCATTAAGAGTTGGCTCTGAGCTTGCATCAGATTTTGGTAAGCCGTCAGGTGAATCTGTCTCCAACAAGAACCTATCGCAAGGAATCTGCACAAGACCGGGAAGAAAAATGTAATATCAATACTTTGTTTTTCAAATGTTGTATAGTTACTGAGGGAAAAAAAAAAAAAAACAAACCGATTTCAAAGTGTCCTTTGCGATATTCTCATCAATGTAAGTGAACCAGCCAGAGAGGGAGAAGTATGCACCAAGCTCAGCAAGTTTAGGAACAACTTCGGCTGTGCCATTGAATGAATGAAGAATCACACCAGCAGGAAAAGGCCCTACTGATCTGTGTATATTATTTATAGAGAGAAACTTAGATGCATGTCTTTGTAAATTCAACTTGTAAGGAAAAAACATATATATACATATGCATTTTTTTTTTTTTTTGAAACTATATATACATATGTATATACCTCATTATCTCGAGTAGATCATCAAATGCATCGATGCAATGAACAGCTACTGGTTTGTTCAGTTCTTTGGCAAGTTCAAGCTGAGGACGAAACACGGCAAGCTGGTCTGAGTAATCGATGCCTGCTGCTAAGGGACTTTTGTCCAAACCAATCTGCCCAAAAATGTTATTATGATGACATCAAAGCTCTTTAGAGATATCAGAGAAAAAAAAGTTTTCAGTATACTCTCCAAAATCATACATTAAAATATATAGTTTTAGTATTGTTGAATTAACCAACTATCAAGAGATGACGAGAGGCTAACCTCTCCAACAGCAGCCGTAGGAGTTGTCTCAAATAACTTTCTCAATGTGTTAAGCCAATGAGGGCTCCTATCTGCAATAAACCTGAAAAATCAAAAATCAAAAACTTGAAAGATTATTTACAATGTTCAAGAAATCGTTAGACGATAATTAGACGTTTTATAAGAGATTAGTGTTTATGTGGGCGATTAGACTGTTTATTTTTGCAACCTAAACCGATTTTTGGAACACTTATTCATTTGCATATAACATACATACCAAGGATGAAGTCCAAAACAAGGAATCACAGAAGGATATGTCTCTCCCATCTCTTTCACCAAGTCCCAATCTTTCTGCTTCCCAAAATCAAAACCGGTTAACAAAGTATTACAGTGGACGAATAATCATAAAAAAAATGTTCAAAAAATTACCTCAAAGATTCCATTGACTGCGAAATTAGTAACACCGACAGCTAAAGCAGCAGCTATGAGCTCAGGTGCTTTGTCTATGACTCTCTTGTCTTGAAGGTGACAGTGAGCATCAAACAACTTCATTTTCACCGGGAGGTTCTTGTCTCTGTGGCTTCTTTCTTCTATTTTGATGTTCTTAAATTATCTGAAGAGACACATCTATATATAATGGTATGTACAAATGTTTAAAGCTTAACCCCAAAGACATGGTCTCATCAAATGAACAACTCAGAGCGTTGACATGTGAGATAGTTTAAGGTTTTAAGTAACATAATAGATTACAAGGTAGTGGTGTTAAAGAAAAAAAAGACTACAAGGCAATGATCTGGATTTTTATGAAACCGAAGACTAAAATGGTTAACCTTTGTGAAACAAATAATTTCCGTAAAGAGTATAATACTAAAATAAAATTTGTGTGAGATTAAAGAAAGGAATACAGATAGATATTGAATAAAAGAAATACAGCTACGAAGTACGAACCATTATCGATAAGAGAGACAGCTCAATATCAGTATTTAAAGACGCATATGTAGAGAAGTAGTCTTTGTTTTATTTCATCAAACACCCATTGGGCTTCGTAATCATCTATTAAAAAACAAATTGGGCTTTTAATGGGCTTTAATATAACTCCCAGTAGGATCAAGTTCACACGTATCTCATGTCCGTTTTCCTCCTCTTCAAAATCATTTTCATGGCGGAGAAGAACAACATTTGCACACAGAAACCCTAAAAAAAAAATGGAGGAATCGAAGCAACACCAACTCTTACTCCAAATGCAGCACCAACAACAACTCCAACAGCGTCACCAACAGCTCTTTCTGATGCAGCAACTCCAGAGACAACAGCAACAACACGCCGCGATGACGAGGTTCCCCAACTCTCATCTCGCTCCGCCTGGGTTGATCCAGAACCGACCCGTTAACCCATCTTTCCAGAACGCAAACCTAAACGTTCAGCAACAGATGCAACAACAACAGAGACCAATGATGATGCAACCACAACAAGAACAAGAACAGAAGAAGCAGATGACGCGTCCGTTGAATCAAATGGAGTTACAGTTCGCTTACCAAGACGCTTGGCGTGTCTGTAATCCTGATTTCAAACGACCTTTCACTTCTCTTGAAGATGCTTGCGAAAGGTTCCTCCTTTATTCAATTTTCAGTATAACCCAATTGTGAAATTCACAGAATTTTAATTGATTTTTTTTCATGAATATCCCATTGTAGATTTGTTTTTGTCATTTCTAACCAAAAAGGCCATTGCTTTTTTTCAAAAGGGTTGCTTTTGTTGAAAAGAGTATAATATAAAGTCTTCACCTTTATATTATTTTAATACCGTGTGATATTTTGTTAGTTGATCTCTTTTGGTTCTTATATGAAAATGTAGTAAGTGTTATCTCCATGGCTTTGGCTTATGAATTTTTTTTTTGTTAATGCAGGTTGTTACCTTATCATGTTGTAGCAGATTACGAAGCAGAGGAAGACGACATGATCCTCCATTCAGACACAACAAGCCAGGGGATGTCACGAAGTCAGCAATGGGACGACAACATTGCAGCCAAAGTGGGCGAATTCACTGATGCGTTTGAGAAACAAGTCCAAGCTTTTAATATGATAACTCAAAAGAGGAGGGATGGTGAGTTAAGATCCGAGGAAAGGTTTATTGTTGAGCAGTTTTTGCTCATGGAGGAGAGGAAAGCATGTAGTGAGGTGAAGTCGGAGCTGGATAGAGAGATGAAGGCACAGGAGGCGAAGTTGAGAATGGCTGCTATGGCTCAAGGAGGACAAGTGATGGGTCACAATCCGTTGAGAGGTAATGCGTTTGGGAACTATGGAGAACAACAGCAGCAACAACAAGGACGGTGCATGAATCCTGATGAGATGATGATGAGGATGCGTAGTTGGATGAATAATAATAATAATAATAATAACAGTACTAATGGCCAGAGAGAAGAGAAGGAACCTGTAGAAGACTTCTTGAATGATGAAGAAACTGGCCAACGTGAGAATTGGAGAGGGAATGGTGACTTTGATTTGAATACTCGGTAAAAAAATGGAACAAAGAGGTTTGGTGATCTAAATACTTTGCAGAGTTGTAGTTAAAGCTTGAAAGGATAGTGAGGGATAAGGTGTTTCTTCTTCTTGACTTTGGTTAATAATATTTACAGTGAAAGAAAATGATGATGATGAAGTAACTTGAACTGCGTGCCGTTTTTAAATTGATGCAAGTCTAATTCAAAGTAGTTAGTTCAAATGGCTCAAAAACTTAACTGAAACCAAAAGAACGTTTTTATAGAAATGTACCAAAGACAAAGCTTTTATTATGAACACTTTTGAGTTAAAAAAAAAAAAAAAACAAACCAGTCACTAAGAACCAAATCGACCGGTACTGGACTGGCATATATGATGTATCCTTCAATTATCATCACCCTTTATGCAGAATCAAACCTTTGTATTACTTAAGGACGGACAAGAGTGGAAGCACGTTCTTGTAGATGTCTCAAGCTCTTTTCCATGCTAACTTGAACCATTTCAGCTAACATCTTCTTCGCCTTACCAGACTGATCATCACCATCTATATGAGAGATTAAGCTCGACACTATGTTCTCTATTGTGTCCGGTTGAACCTCTGATCTCGGGCTTTCTGAGTCCCTTAGTAAACAGAGAAGTCTCTGAGCTTTGGTCCGAGACTTTGATGTCCCTTGAACCGTGAGCTCAAGCAGTCCAGGTATTACACCTTCTCTGAGAATCGGCTCTCTGTATTTACTCCTATCGCTTTGGCACAATGTTAAGAGCACACCAACTGCGTGTTCCTTAGCTTGTAATGACCCGTTTTCAAGAACCTCCACCACTGCAAGAACACCTCCTTCATCTGAAACTAAGCCCTTTCTCGTCTCCTCTCCGGAAACCATCAATGATTCTATCAGGGAACAGCATTTCTCAGATGTTTTCGATGATTTTTTACTTGATTTGAGAAGATTCAGAATCGGTGAGAGTGGTTTGGTAGCTAGGATCATGGTTAGGTTAGTGGAGAGTGTAGAGAGGTTGGAAAGTGCCATGACTGCATCAGCTTTAGCTTGTGGCCTTCCATGTTTAATGACTTTGACTAATAGTGGAATCACTCCGTTAGCTCCAATGATGGGTTTGTTGTTAGGGGATGCAGAGAGAGTGAGGAGAGATGCAGAAGCGTATTCTTGAAGTGTTGGGCTATTAGATTGTAAGAAGTTCATGATCGGCTCTAAAGCACCGGCTTCAACTATGCTCACCTTGTTCCTGAAATTTGAAAATTCAACAGCAAAACTCAGAATAGTCTTTTAAAGACACTGACACATAAGCAAACAGGCAGAAACCAATTTTTCTTTCTCCAAATTTTCAGTCATATGAATTGTAATAAAGGGAAACAGAGTTGTAAGAGCATGTTTAAAGGCGTGTCTTAACCACGTGCCTTATGTTAATTAATCAAAAAAAAATAGGAAAACACGAAGGCACGTCTTCTTATTAGGAGTTTGGAGACACGTTCCTTAGCGACGTGTCAAAAGAAAATTGGATACAGAAATGGTGTAGTGGTTGTCTTTTTCTCATTTCTTCCTTTCTTTTCTCTAGTTCTCCTTCGGTCATGTGACGAGAAAGACTTAAAAAATCATAATGGCCCACTTAAGATACACTTAAGAGTTTTGTTGATAAACATGCTCTAAGCCAACTACCTAACCTCTTGGGAAAACCAAGCCGACTTAAAGGTACTTATTGAATTGATTAATGTTTTATGGACACAAAAAAATTTAAAGTAGGAGAGGAAAAGTGAAGATAAAGAAAGGCTCTGGTGTTTAGCTTATCTACTTTGATTGCTCATCTTTTCTCCACTAGAAGGTTCCCATCCCATTAATAAAAGAAAAAGTGATGATGATGAGATCAGAGCTTAGACCAAAAGAAGAAACTGACTACAAGGTCGTTTGCGTATAAATTAAGGAAGATTCAGCAGCAAGGAAAATATTATAAAATACTAAGTCTGGTAAAGCAGACTAATAAACTAAGTTAGGCAAAACCTACCCCAAGAAAGAGTTAGTTAGCTTCAGTTGATTTCCATCTAAACGACTACTTGACTTAAATCATCCTCTGTTTCCAAAATCAAAAAGCCTTCATGGATCAAAGATTATTGAAATGAATTGAGATTGGATTGTTAGTTTCCTCTGTTTCTGATGTTAACTAAAGGAGAGAGGGAATTTGCGGATAACACGTCATGATTCCCTCTGTTTTGGGAGATTAAAAAAATATTATTGTTTTATCTATCCTGCAACTTGATTCCTTGCTTTCTTATGGATTATAGAAAAAGAAAGAAAAAGCAACGGTAAAAAATGACTCTCTAGCTTTTGTGTAGATTAATAAAATATCATCAGCAACTAGAAACCAATCAAACCTCACTAAAGATAACGATCAAAACAAGAAGAAAAGTCAGAGTTCTCCGGAAAACCGCATAAACTAAAGAATAGTTGAAAAGTCAGAAAAGGAATAAAGAAGAGTATCCATTGGATATTTTGAATTCGCAGTAACAAAAAAAAAATCCTTCAAAAAGAAAGAAACACAAAAAAGGAGCTCAAGGAAAGATAGAGTACACTCCAAGCAAACAAAAAGCATCTGCCAACAAAGATAAGAGCAAAAAAAAAAAAGTTGATGGATCCACCAAATCTGATTAAAGAAAGTGCTTAAAAGCAGAGAAAACAGAGTTCGCTAAGATCGAGAGATTATCCATCAAATGCAATCATCCAGTCATGTTCTTACACGAAAACCGACCAAAAAAAGACACGAATTGACACTTTCTATTTAATATGATGACTTCATCTTCTCATCATAAAATAGTAAAAGTCATAAAAAATTGAGCTAATTAGCTAAATCACTAATCTAATATTCAAATTTGATTGATACACATGGCCGGTCCTAGATCCCTATAATTTTAGTAACTAGTAGTATGTATAAACTTTAGCAATGTTCTAAAAATTGCTAGATTTTGATTAGGCCTTTTATAAAGAATTATTGATTAGTCGATTTTTTGAATGCCTAAACTAATTTTTAAAAAATCAGTTTGAACAATTGTTTCGACTATGCCAGATTTGTCGGCTAGACCAATTTCTAGAACATATGTGTTTGATGATTTAGCTTTTTAATTTGTTTCAGACAATATGAATCTCAGGATCGGACTTGTTAATTTATTACACTAATCTCAAGCTTAGAAACCACTAATCAGATCATCATATTAAAACAGAACAATTTGAATTTGAGTGGGAAGATAAGGAGAAAGAAAACTTACTTCTCGTATTTAACAGCGAGGTTAAGGAGAGCAAGCAAAGCCGCCTCATGATGAGATTCATCCGAGTCTAATCTCAGCATCGCTACAAGCGGTTCAACGGCCTGTGAGAAGTGTCGGCGACATCTATGCGACGTCTTCGTCAACCGACGGATCTCTCTAGCTGCGAACAGCCTCGATTCCGGATCCTCCGATCTGATCAAACTCAGAATTCTCTGAATTGAGGCGGAAGACGAGGAAACAGAAACAGAAACCGACAGCAATTCGTGATCTGCATCTCCGCCACGTGGAGAGTCGCAATCGTGGTTTGATGATACGGAGGAAGAGGAGGAAGAAGGGACGGTGGAGGTGAGGCTGATGGTTTCTCCGGAGAGATCCATTTGAGAGAGAGAGAGAGACGTATGAGTTAAGGAGTTAGTTAAACAGTTACATACTACGTGTGTATTATATATACTACACCAAGCGAAATATCTATATGTAAGATAGCTATCTATTTTTAAACTATTGTTTTGTTATTATGAAAGCATATTGTAAGAAACAAAAACATTTGAAAGACTTTTAAGGGATGGACGCCTTGAAATTTCCATAGTTTTGTTTGTAGACAATTAGATATTTTTGAACTAAAATGATGTGGATGGGCCAAACCTTGACTGTGAGATTTTTATTCTATATTTTATTATAGTAAAGTTTGGTTCCTCAAATATTAAGATCAGTTGCCAACCATTCTTTGTTACATTGTCTTTATCTTATGCATAGACATATTTGGCTAAGTAATCTAAAGACTAAAAAGGGAGGGCTGAATCACATTTTTATATTAAAGTTTTATAGCATCTTCATAGAGTGGTTAAAAAAAATATCCAAGGATATTAAAAAATTATATCATCACACTTGTCACTAATTATATAAAGATATATTTACCTTGGCTGGTAACGGGATTAGTTTTAATTTATTTCAGTAAATCACTGATTTTTGTGGTATTTGTTCTCAATAATTCCACATGGGCTTGGAGTCTATAAATTACTGTCCAGAACCAAAGCCCACGCTAAAACAAAAACCAGATCAGCCTGAACCGCAAAATAAACACCAAGGAAATGTAGAATTCTTCAATATATCTTACATGAAATGAAAACATAATCGAAAATGAAACATACTTGATCAAGTAATTGGTCACTACAGAAACAAATTAAACATGATTAAAATCTCATATGAATATAGATTTGAATTTGGCTTAGAAAATCTTGGCGACATCTTTCATGAGACCACGATTAGCCTTTGCGAAATCAGAAAACTCTTGATACGATATGAATCCATCACCATCAGTATCTATCTCAGCCATCATACGCTTAACGTCATCGTGCGTGACCGAGCCAAGGTTCTTGAGAGCATCTCCAAGCTCTGTGGAAGAGATATTTCCATCTCCATTAGCATCAAACTTCTTGAAAATACGGTCGTGCTCAGCTTTTTCCGTTGCGTCAGCCATTGTTTTATAGGTTTGTTCTCTTGGTCGGAGGAAATGAGATGGTCGCGAGAGTTGTTTATATAAAGAGATTTGAATGTGAAGAAAGCTGAGGCTATGCTTTAAACTAGGCGATCTAAGGAGGAAACTGAAGTTACTAAAAATAGAACGTGACTCGGTCTTTTCATTAAAAGAACTTGTATTCTGAACAATACAATGCATATGAGTTGGTACAAAATAATCAACGGCTGAATCCAATGGTTTTGCCAGCTTTATATCGATCTTCTAACATGAAATCGAAGTCATATCTTTTAAGAAAGATGTATTACCTTTAAGGAGCTCTGTCAAAAGGCTTAGTGTCATTGTAACAAGTATCCCACACTGCTTCCATAGCGTCTTTAGCTGCCACTTCAGAGCAATACGGGTTGCCACGAAGCGATTTCAGCACTCTTCTTTTTATACATTCCTTTGAAATAAACAAAAATCAGATTAATATTAACAACAATCATCCAAAACTCCACAAGCAATTCTTCTTCTTCTTATAGTGTTACTTACTTGTTCATGCCCTCTTAACTTAATGAAACCCCTCAAAAGCTCTCTCTTGAAATGGCAATCACCACTTAAATGACCTGCACGTATCTGTTTACCAAAACACATCAATAACTTCAAAAAAAAAAGTAATATCAATTAGATAAAGCTGTAGCCAACAATGTAACCACCTCACTGCAAGCATGATGAGCACAGTTAGTCCAATCCAAATTCTTGCCACGACACTCATCATAAGCATGGATTAACTCATGTATAACCACTTGGTTCACTTCATCTTGAATCGTCAAATAGTTACTACACACAGTAATCTTCAAAAAAAAAAAAAAAAAAAAAAAAAAACAAAAAANAATCTTCAAAAAAAAAAAAAAAAAAAAAAAGAATCAAAACATTACAAAAAAATGGACATGAAAGAAAGTGTTTACCCCTCTTCCTTTAGTGAATCCACCAGCTACAGGACCAGTACACTTAACAGCCTTAACGAAATTATCTCCAACTCTGCATCCAGATTTCTCCATTTGCTCCATCAGAAACTTCACTATCGGATCTAAATCACAAAACAAGCGATTGATGATTCTTAGATTTCTAATTAAAAACAATCAATTGGATTTTAATATTTGAGGAAGAAAAAAATATACTTCGGAAACTTCGCTGAATCATGTCTTGGCATTCTTCGATAGATTTGCCGCGTTTTCCTCCGAGGTTTAAATCGGAACCTGAGTTTGGAGCGGCTGCATCTTCCATCTTTCCGATTTTTTGAAGCCGGAGGTTCTTCCCTTCGCGAGTGGCGGCTTATGATCGGAGAGGGAGAGAAAATGAGACGGAAGGGTAAATGTGTCAATATACATTAGCCTCCCTCTTTTTTTTATTAAACGGTTAATTATATGGTTTGGCGTATTCGATTCGGTTTTATAGAACCAGCATTATCAGACCGGGTTTATTTTAATCCTATTTAACTAAACCAGCATTATCAGACCGGGTTTATTTTAATCCTATTTAACTGATAGGCTATAGATGTTTTGATGAGGCTTTAGCAGAAGAATAATGGAATATGCTTTCAGTATTATTATCAAAATCTAAATGCTTCTATGTGTTGGATTCTCATTCATGCAAAGAGATAAATTGTAATTTATCAGCATTGTTGAACTATGAATGTTTAATAAGAATAAGAAGCAATCAAGTATACATACCCAAGTTATAGGATAAGATCATAAGGATGACAAATATTCATTTCCTTTTCTATTAATTATTAGAAATGGAAATTTATATTTATGCATGCTTTATCTTTTTTCCTGTACATATTTCATAGTTTTGGTTTTGTAGAGTTTGTATGCATAAATTGTAAGATTACCATGTGTTAGAGTCAATCCAATCTAGATAATAAAATATGCAAAAGTAAGAAATTACATTAATTTTTCTTGTCCTAAAAAGATTAGAGATTAATATCACCCAATCTTTACATTTAAATACAGTAAAAATATATATTTGAATCTTCTTATTCTCGTGCTTTTGCAATCTACCTATTAATTACTCCCCTTTTTATATCACTTAAATTATAGATTTTTTTTTTCTACTTTAATTGATCATTAATTTGAAATACATCTCACTTCTTCTGTTATATGGCTTAGCTGGGTTTTCAAACCCTATAAATAAAAGAACATATGATCTCGTATTTCACACAAAATTTTCAAACCAAAATAAGAGTATAACAAAGAAAAACATATAATTAAGAAAAATGTCTGCGAAACAAATCTTTGAAAAGTTCGACAAGAACAAGGACGGTAAACTTTCACTTGAAGAGTTCCAAAAAACAGCTCTTGCTTTTTTTAACACCTTTTCTGAGGAAGAGATCAAATGCCTTTTTAATAATATGGACGTGGATGGTGACGGCGAAATCGAAGCTGCTGAATTTATATCGTTCACTGAAACTATGTTGAAGGAAGTGTTCGATTTTTGTGACCTTGACAATGATGGAAAGATGCCAGCTGACGAGGTGTATGTGAACATGACTAAGCTCGGGAGAGAGTGCACTGAGGAGAGCTGCGCCGAAACGGTTCGAATTGCTGATGCAGATGGCGATGGTTATTTGAACTTTGAGGAGTTTATGGGCATGGTGTTTAGCGACGTTTTAAAGAAAGAGTAAATTGTATTCTTGTTAAGTACTGTATTCACTAATATAATTAGTAATAAGTTCTTATAAATTAAAGAAAGCTTATATATGTTGTTGAATGTTTTAATAAATAAAAGCGAAGCGTGGATACGTGATTACATTTAAAAACGTGACAACTACATTAACATCCCTCTCTTTCTATTAAACGGTTTACTATATGGTTGGCGTATTCGATTCGGTTTCGCAAAACCATCATTATCAGACCGGGTTTAATTTAGTCATCTTTAACTAATAATGGGCAATGTTTTTAAGCCTGGCCCAAACACTGAATTGAACGATTTATTAGGTTATACTGGATCAACCGCGGATTAATAAATTAATTAATTTTATTATATAACAAAAGATTAGCTATGAAAAAAAAATAAAAAAATCTAAAGTTTAATATTTTCTAAATGTTTTTAAACATAAAATAATAGTTTGGATATGTACATATTTTATGTTTAAAAATAATTAACTTTAGTCGTATATATTTATTTTCATTTGACATATAAAATATCAAAAATAGTTTAGACTATTTGTTTTTTTATAACAATTAAGAGTTATGACATCTAAAAAAAATCAAGACATAAAGTTCATAAATATTTAAATGTCTAGCGTAAATAATAAATTAAGTTTAAATTCAAAATAAACCAAAAACAAAACACTATTGTAATAAATTGTCAATAACAAAAATAAACTAACACCAAATCACATAATTTTGATTTTTTCACCATTGTTCACTTCGTTTTCTTCAGGTGTTATAGTGAAATCTTTATCAAATTTTTAAAACCAAATATAAAACTGAAAAGTGAAAATCTAACTTTTTATTAGACATTTAGAATATAAAACATAATTAAATACTAAAAAGGAAGTAAAAGTTATCCATTGGTTAAACCAGTAGTTCAACGATATCGAGTTTTGGGGTTTAGTGGGCTGGGTTTTACGGTTTTTTGCGGGTTTTTAAATTTTAGATTTTTAAAAAAATCTAAACCAATTTTTTTCTGGATTGTCAGATTTACCGGTTCAACCGCGGATCCGCGCTGCCACTCTCCGGGATTGGGTTTCAAAACACCGATAATAGGCTATAGCCTATAGATGTTTTGATGAGGGTTTACAACTAAATGGCCGGCTTGATTTAAGTCCAACATAGTGAAGCTCTGAATATTAAATTTAGCAGAAGAATAATGAAATATGCTTTCAATATTATCAAAATCTAATTCCTTCTATGTGTTGGATTCTCATTCATGCAAGAGATAAATTGTAATTTATCAGCATTGTTGAACTATGAATGTTCAATAAGAATAAGCATTCAATATACATACCCAAGTTATAGGAATGACACATATTCATTTCCTGTTTGTTTATAGAAATCTTATAGTTGTGTTTCTCATATTTTTCCTTTTCTATTATTTGAATTGGAAATTTATATTTATGCCTTATCTTTTTCCTGTACAAGTTTCACTGTTTTAGTTTTGCAGAGTTTTTATATGCATACATTGTATGATTAACATGTGGCAAAGTCAATTCAATCTAAATAATAAAATATGCATAAGTGAGAAATTGCATTAATTTTTCTTGTCCTAATTAAAAGATTAGAGATTAATATCACCCAACTTTTACATTTAAATGTTGTATACAATATCTTGGAATCTTCATATTCTCATCTTTTTGCAATCTACATATTAATTATTCCCCTTTTTACACTTATTTGATAGATTTGGCTTAGGGTTTTCAAACCCTATAAATAAAAGAACATATGATCTCGTATTTCACACAAAATTTTCAAACCAAAATAAGAATATCAAACAAAAACATATAATAAAAAAAAAATGTCTGCCAAACAAATCTTTGAAAAGTTCGACAAGAACAACGACGGTAAACTTTCACTAGAAGAGTTTCAAGAAGCAGCTCTTGCTTTTTTTAACTCATTTTCTGAGGAAGAGATCAAATGCATGTTTCATGATATGGACGTGGATGGTGACGGTGAACTCGAGGCTACTGAATTCACATTGTGCATTGAGAAGATGTTGAAGGAAGTGTTCGATTTTTGTGACGTTGACGATGATGGAAAGATACCAGCTGACGAGGTGTATGTGAACATGACTAAGCTCGGGAGAGAGTGCACTGAGGAGAGCTGCGCAGAGAAGGTTCGAATTGCTGATGCAGATGGTGATGGTTATTTGAACTTTGAGGAGTTTACGGCCATGGTGCTTAGTGACGTTTTAAAGAACAAGTAAATTGCATTCTTGTTAAGTACCTGTATTCACTAATATAATTAGTAATAAGTCTTAATTATCGTGATGTTTATTGTACTGGTTTAGAGGTTTCTCGACCTTGTTTATTTCCTTATAAATAAATAAAAGCTTATATATATGCATGTTATATAATCTAATATATAATAGCAAATCAATTTTTATCATCCGCTAATGTCATCTTTTTTAGAGAAAAATAAAATCAAAATCTCGGTGGAGAAGTTCTGAGAATCTAAGGGATATACTTTTGTTTAGGATGAAGGGTATTGAAGTTTTCATCGTAGCTCTTCAAAATATATTTTCTCTTCACAAGCAGTACTGCTCGCGCTCCCGAGAGCCGCGCTCCCGAGAGCCGCGCCCCCCGAGCCGCGCTCCCCGAGAGCCGCGCTCCCCGAGAGCCGCGCTCCCCGAGAGCCGCGCCCCCCGAGAGCCGTGCTCCCGAGAGCCGCGCTCCCGAGAGCCGCGCTCCCGAGAGCCGCGCTCCCGAGAGCCGCGCTCCCGAGAGCCGCGCTCCCGAGAGCCGCGCTCCCGAGAGCCGCGCTCCCGAGAGCCGCGCTCCCGAGAGCCGCGCTCCCGAGAGCCGCGCTCCCGAGAGCCGCGCTCCCGAGAGCCGCGCTCCCGAGAGCCGCGCTC